TAATCTCTCCGATAGATGAGCCACGTTGAGAGTAATCTCTCCGATAATCGGGCCATTGAGAGTAATCTCTCCAATAGTCGGGTCATTTTGAGAGTAATCTCTCCGATAGTCGGGCCATATTGAGAGTAATCTCTCCAATAGTCGGGTCATTGTGAGAGTAATTTCTCCGATAGTCGAGCCACATTGAGAGTAATCTCTCCGATAGTTGGGCCATTGAGAGTAATCTCTCCGATATTTGGGCAGGGATGAGTATCCATCCCTTCACACCCTAAGACCGCCTTCTTCATGTGTAGATCATCTTGTTGAACTAGAGCATATCTTTCTCGCTTGACCTACAAAAAAGAAAAAAAGACAACAAAGGAAGAAAGCACAAGAAATTTCCTTTGCGTTGATGCTTCCGAGTCCACAAAACTAGACTCAAGTGGATTACGAAAACTGCGAATTAATGTTTAACAAATAGGAGCGCATGAGTTTATATAGATCTCTATAGACGGCTTGCAATAGTATATTACCGATGTGGGTGCAGCGATAAGGCAGTAACATAATTTATGTCCAACATGAATTACGTGACTAGTAGACTTCAAGAAGGAGTCAAATAGCTTCTTGGTTTAATTACTTTAGCCACATAAAGGCCGGAGGAAAGCAGTCGTAGGTAGTATCCAACCTCAATGCGGAAAACCACTCAGAAATCCTTTCACGCTGATTTGAGTCAGTTCTTTGCAAATGGAAGTCCTTTCGGAGACCAAATGTATATCACAATACTACTTTTTGTGATCTTTACTCACTTTACCTTAATTATGTGGCATGTTATCTCTCGTTGTGATATTTGCTCATATGGATTAATTGATTGTGAGTTAAAGTCTTGGCATGTGCGAGTTACTAAATCGTTTAAGCGTGGTACTTCAAGCCCGACAAGCCTATACCTCAACAAATCTTGAAGCATAGGGCATTTGTAGGCATATAAATTTTATTAAAATTAAATCTATACGATAATTTGGATTATATTTTAAAGGTCAAGATACATTGGTCCAAATAAATACTACGGGCTAATATAATTGAATTAATTATATAAGTCCAATATATATGGATTAAATAAATAAGTCTTAATCCATTGGGCTAGCCCATTTAATTGAGCTAAAGTGATGAGCCCACTTTATTAAGCCCAAAATGTCATCTTCCTAGAGACCCAGTTTGGTGTCACGTGTCAAATGACATGGCGGGCCAAGTCAAACGGAAGAGCCAATAGGATCATGCCACATGTTAAAATGACAAGGCATGCCAAGTCACGCTAAAAGGCCAATGAAATCGCGCCACGTGTGCAAGTGGCATGTTCTGGCCAATCAAATGCGGCCATGTCACACTTCAATTTGATTGGTCGGAAAGAGTTTGTTCTTATCATAACTCTTCCCTTCCACAACTATAAATAGGGGTATTCATAACTCAGAAAAAATAACAGAAGTTATAACAAAAAGCAAGAGAGAGCTCGTGGATCAAACACCGCAAATTTCTCTACAAGTTTCAAGCTTCAAGCAATAAAATTCAAGCTCAAGAACGAAGAACAAATCAAGTTCAAGAACGAAGAACAAATCAAGTTTAAGCTCAAGAACGAAGAACAAATCAAGGTCAAGTTCAAGCAATCAAGCTTAAGCTCAAGAATAAGATCATTGTTCGTGGCAACAAACATAGATTCAAGATCAAGCTCAAAGGCCCTTGAATTTATTTACTATTAAAAAGAAGAATCAGATAATTTATAGAGATTGTGCATTTGTATTATTTGAAATCAAATACTACGATTGTTGTGATATTTTCGATCTTGATTTTATTTTCTCGACTCAAATTTATTATCTACAACTCGTATTAGATATTTTTGTGTTTGCAAACTATTAGAGGGTTCCATATAAACCTCAAATACCCGCCTTTATAGATGTTCGTTTGTACTTCAAAATACAGAATGGAACAAGATATGTTCAAAACAGGAGACCTCATGAAATACTGTCTTAGAATTTAAAAGTTGCATGAGTGTGCAGTTGACGACCTATTAATTTCTTCTTGGCTTTTCAACTTACTGTTGTAATTTCATTTCATACTTCTGATATCTGTAACTAGTGCATCTTTTCTTATTTGGTAGGAGCAGATAATCACTAAGCACCTTTTTTTTTTAAAATTTTACAATAGTGCCGCGCTAAATAGAGCTACGTGGGCCTGGTTCCATTACTTTTAGAGATAAAATGAAGGGATTTTTTCATTCCTATACACTATTGGAAACTTTATTACCCTAAATGTTCATGTTTAGTAATTTACCATACCTATACAATTTTTGTTTACAAAAAATATACATTCCACCTTAAAAGGCTCTCAATCCATTATTAGTGCTTTCAATTAAGGGATCTAGTTTCACCCTTTTCCTTTTTTTTTCCTCTTCTCTTTCCATATTTTTCCTCCACCTTAAAATACAGTAATCTTCATATACGACCCAATTATATACATTACTTATTAGCTCACGGTTTACTTATTTCTTCGAAAATGGATGAGGATCATGTTTTTTACTCATCACAAATCTGATAAGATTCTCAGTGAGCCCAAAAGCTTTGAGGTTATCTTTATTCCACTTTTATTATAATTTTGCAGACACAGGCGCTTGCCAAAACCAAAATCCAACAAAGCAGCACCTCCTCCTTTACCCCAGGTGTCATATGCAGTTGGTCTATGGTCCCAAATCCCCTATGACTACAGATTGAAGAGTAGATCTTACAAATGAAACTTTTATTCATAGGAAAGACAAAACAAAGAGCGTATATAATATTTGTTGGTCATTTCACCTCTGGTAATGGCAGCTGCGTAGCATATCCAAGAATGCCTTTGCATGTGAACATGAACAGAGCTGAGATAGTCGCTCGTGGCCGTCCTTCAATTAAGAAAGTCCATACTATGTATACCATTTGCATCCCCACAAAGACCTATGAGCAAAAACAATGATCTCATTTCTCCTGTTCTCTACTATGTCAAATCACGTAAATCAATAAATTTTGGCAAATTATATAACAGAACCAGGAAAAATGATTTCAATGCATAAAGCAACCCACTTAGTTTCTCCTAAATTCCAAAGGTTACAGTAATTGAACATAAAAATGCAGCCACATTATACATTCAGTAACAAACCACATACCATATTAAATTGTGTGATCATTTCATCTACAAATATGCGCGTAGAACATGCGTACGTACTGTGTTAAGGCAACAAAGCAAATTCGGGAGATGACTGAATCTGAGAGGCGGAGAGCGGAGAGGAGGAAAGCTCACAGTGCCCCAGGAAGCATTCAGAATGAGCCATTGCGAACGAGTAGAATTATCAAAGAAATTGAGTGAAAAGTCAAAGGAAGTATTCAGAATGATTCTGTTAAAGCATGCTATCCAGGCCAACCTGAACAGCGTAGAAGGCTATTACCATTTCACAGTGTGGACAGGGCCATTGGGATAGTTAATTTTATAACCAAGGGTAGAATCGAAGAGATCTTACATCTCATGTAACGACTGAAATATAGTGGTTGTTTTGTCTGTTGAACTTATGTTACTGCCATGGCTGTAACAGGAAATTTTGTGATGTAATCAATTATTCCCAAGTTTGAAAAAGGAAAAGGAAACCTAATTGCTCCTCTTGATTGGTAACATCAATTTCTTGTTTGTCTTATTGCGTCGAATGACTATGATTAAGGTTGCTTGGGTGCTTTGGCTAGTGCACAGCAGTGTACGTCGACCAAGACACCTTTGCCAAACCTCTCTCACCTCCCAATTATATACAATTACAATATAATATCACTTAAATATAATTTTTATACAAATTTTATACAGTATGTCTTTTGTATATTTTGTATCTAATTTATACATAGTTAAACCAAATTTCAAACAACTAATTATATATTATACAATTTATCTACAATTAATCTACAATTTTCACACATTATTTCTACCATGTTAAATACAACTACAATAACATACAACTTAAATACAAATTTTATATAATATGTCTTTTGTATATTTTGTATCTGATTTATATTATAACGATCCGACCGGTCGTTTTGAGCTCTAGCGCGTCGTTCAGCAGTTTGAGGCTATGAGCAACTTCACTTTAGGTATTATGACTTGTACGCATGGTCGGAATGGAATTTCGGGAAGTTCTGAGTTGATTTGGAAAGAGAAGTCTCATTTTAGAAGTTTTAAGTTGAAAGAATTAACTAAGATTGGATTTTTAAGTAAACAACCTCGGAATCGGGATTCAAAGGATCCAACAGGTTGGTATGATGATTTCGGACGTGGGAATATGTCCGGATCGGTTTTGGAAAACCCGGGAACATTTCGGCACCTATTGTGGAAGTTAGCATTTTTGGAAGAATTTCATAAGTTTGGGTTGAAGTGCATTTCAGTGTTATCAATGTCCGTTTGGGATTCCGGGTCTGGGAATAGCTTCGTATAGTGATTCTGGTGTTGGGAGCGCGATCGGAAGTGAATTCGGAGGTCCGTGGGTCATTTTGGAGTCATTTGGCTAAAGATAGAAATTTGAGGGCTTTTGAGAAGTTTGACCGGAAGTGGACTTTTTGATATCGGAGTCGGAATCCGATTCCGAAAGTTGGAGTAGGTTTGTAACGTCAAATATGACTCATGTGAAAAATTTGAGGTCAATCGAACGTGATTTGATAGGTTTCAACATCGAATGTAAAAGTGTGAAATTCTAAAGTTCATTAAGTTGGATTGGAGGTCGATTCATGATTTTAGTGTTGTTTGATATGATTTGAGGCCTCGAGCAAGTCCGTAATGTATTTTAGGACTGGTTGGTATGTTTGGTTGGGGTCCCGGGGGCCTCGGGTGGATTCCGGATGGTTAACGGATCAAGTTTGGAATTTGAAGAAGAAATGATCAGCTACCTTATGGTGTAACCGTACCTGCGAGGCTTGGGCCGCAGGTGCGGAGCCGCAGAAGCGGCCTGGGAGGCGTAGAAGCGGACCATGACCGCCCAGGTGAAGGGCCGCATGTGCGGGGCATTGACCGCATCTGCTCAAGCGCAGAAGCGAGATGGAAGACCGCAGAAGCGGTTATTGGCGCAGGTGTGATGGGGCTTCCGCAGAAGTAGACTCGCAGAAGCGGCGAGGAGTCTGTAGGTGCGGAAAGGCTGGAGGCAGTGTATTCTTTTAAAAATCGGGGGTTGGTCATTTTTTCCCCCATTTTTCCTTTGGTGTGGGCAATTTTGGAGAGCTTCAAGTGGGGTTTTTCATCATCAACGACAAGGTAAGCTAACCCCACATATGTTGAGTTAAATATATTGATTATGAATGGATTTTAGCATGTAAATTGGTAGAAATTTGGGGGTTTGAGGAAAACCTAGAAAATTCGTATTGTTGAATTTTGACCACGATTTTGGGTAAGGAATTAAGAAGAAAATAATGTATTTGAGTTCGTGAGTTCATGGGTAAACTTTATCTTCGAGAAATCTCGTAATCCGGGCACATGGGCCCGGGGGCAATTTAGTCAACTTTTCGATCGGGGTAAGGAATTGCTATAAATTGGATTGTAATGAGTAATTGAACATATATTAATGGATTTGCATAATTATTGGCTAGTTTTGAAGCATTGTGCATCGATTCGAGTCTTCGAAAGAGCGTGGAATGTCGGTTACGGATATTTGGAGCGAGGTGAATCTCTTTTCTAACCTTGTAAGAGGGATTGTCCCTATAGGTGAAATAATTGGTTATGTGCACTCCTATTTGTGGGGGGTTACGTACGCACGAGGTAACGAGAGGTGTGCGTAGCTACTATTATGTCTAAGTCTGGGTAGTCTAGGACCCAAAATCATGCTATACTTGGAATATTTGTAATCTTATTGGAAGTTGAATTATTTAAATCCTATCGAATCGGTAAATGAATTTCTAAAAGGATTAAACTTCATTTTCTTAAATCGCTAAAAGAGAACTGGCTTTTATTTGGATAAATGTTCCCCGATAACTGCATCGCATGTATAATTCGCGAGCAGGGTGATTGTTTATTTAAATTTGACCGCTTCGCATGTATGATTCGCGAGCGGGATAGTAGATGCATCTATGGTTCGTGCCGTTTGACCCTCGGCAGTGCACATTTTACATTTATGTTGGATCGGACCGTACGACCTCGGCATGATATGTGCATGCTTGTATTGCTTGCTTGAGAATTTTAAATGTTAATAATTGCCCTTCCTGGCCAGAGATAAATTGATAAAGATAATGAAAAGTAAATCTTTGGAAATCCTTCATTATTTGAGAAGTTATTTACCTGCTTTCCGGCTTTATGAGTTAAATTTTGCTTTATGAAATCCATGAATTTCTCACACCTTTACTATATTATCATTGGACCATTAGTAAGTGTCGAAGTCGCACTCTCGTCTCTACTTCTTCGAGATTAGACGGGACACTCATTGGGTACACGTTGTTTTCGTACTCATACTACACTTGCTGTGCATTTTTGTTGCACAGGTTCATATGTGGCTAGTTGCTTAGTGTCATAGCGGCATGGTTCATACGGAGACTTAGACGAGCTTCATTTATCGAGATGACCCACAGCCAGTAGAGTCCCCTTCAAAGTATTTTACTGTGTTTTTCATTTCTGTCCACTCTGTATTCCGGACAGTTACTGTATTTTATTTCATTCCCTAGTAAATGCTCATGCACTTGTGGCACCGGGTTCTGGGATGATTATGGGGTATCTTGTATTAACTTCTTAACATTCATATTTGATTTGAAACGATTATCTTTTATTGGTAAAATTGAAGGAAAATCATAGTTTTCAAAATTATTAAGACGAGAATTTAATTAAGTATTTTGGTTGGCTTACCTAACAGCGGTGTCCGGCGCCATCACGACCCTTAGTGGAATTTGGGTCGTGACAACATGGTATCAGAGCACTAGGTTCCCTTAGGTCTCACGAGTCATGAACGTGTCTAGTAGAGTCTTGCGGATCGGTACGGAGACATTTGTACTTATCTTCGAGAGGCTGCAGCGCTGTTAGGAGAACTTCCCTTCTTGATTCCTCATCGTGCGATTTAATTCCTTGAGACTTATGCCTTTATTTCCTTCCTATTCAATCTTACGCGACACGAACAACATGTTATAAATCGAGAATTGAAGAATTGTAATGGTACTACAGATGTGGTGCGGGATGTTTCTCCCGGTATAGTTGGTTGGGCTATTGTTGTCGCCTTGCAGAAGGATTTTCTATCGTTTCGGCTCGGTAGTTGTGCTTCTAAGAGCTTGGAGGCTATGCACAAGTTGCTATGATGCTCACGATTGGTTATCGCAAAGTATTGACTTGATGATAGGATACTTGCCTTTGTGTTAGGGCGGTGAATGATTTGAAAGGAAGTCCACTCTGTGCATGATTCAGAGATCTGATATTTCATTTTCGGCGGAGGAAAAGCAATTGGCCTATGAATGTCCGGAATTGTGGTGATGGAGTAATGAGACTTGGTATTTTCGAGCGTGGTGGAATTTTCATCTGCGATGCAGTGTCGTCGTCCTCGATTGTGTGTGTTAAGTTTGCCGATGTTATGGTCTTCTGCAATTCGCTTTTGGGGTATGATATTGTGAAATAATATTGGAGAAATGACTGTTAGATATCGCGGGGTGCGGTGGTTCAGGATTGAATCGGTGTTTCTAATGTTGACAGCTCGAGAAAGATGATCTTCGGAAAGGTTTAAAGTTAGTAGCGATTTGTGGGTTCAAGTGCTACGAAGATAGATTTTATTTAAGGCAACAATTGAGCAACAAAGGATGAGGAATGACATGTGGGGAGTGTCAGGCGGTGGTTAAAATTTCTAGAAGGCCAGGTATAAGAAGCAAAGGTCGAGTAGTCGATTAAATGGGTGAGTTCTGCCAAAGTGGGAGAGTGTCAGAGTTGCATATGGGCTTTGTGGTAGGATGACTAAGCACCTTAAGGAGAGTTTGGAATGATTTGGGAATTTTAGTGATTGGTGATTGGGGTCTACGGATTTAATTTGAAGTACGGACTATTATGCGGCAGGAGATTTGATATAACAGAAAAGAGCTATTTGAAATGAAGAAGGATACAACATAACTTTGAATTAGAAGGATGTTGTCGCACATTTAATTGATGCCTATGAGGGGTGAATGGACTTGTGCAGTTAGAGAGTGAGCTCAGACTAAGGATGGGTTATTTCAGCTACGGGAAAAGAACATAAGTAGTAATTTGAGCAAAGGAGTTGGTAAAGGTGTGCTATGGTTGGCCTTATTGGCTCATGTTCAGACTCGGGGAAGGATTCAGGATTTATGCCTTGTATAGATGCGGGTTTCAAGGGAAGTGATTCTGTCGGGTGCTTCGTCGAGAGGGTATTCATGTGCTAGAAGATCCATGGAGTTGATTATATTCGGGGCCAAGTCAGAGCGGGTGGCTCTCAACAACGGTCCTAGTGGATTCAAAGGGGTAAAATGTGGTGCCTAATGATTTCAAGCCTATAGGTACGGTTAAGAATCAAGCTTTGTAGTAGCTTATGAGAAGAGGCCCAGAATCTTCTATGATGTTTTGACTTGCAGTGTAGAATTTGGGAGGTTTGAAATGGTTCGTGGGATTTGAGACAGCATGGTCTCGTGATTCAAGGTCACTCGGGATGAGTGCGGATGGAGTGTGTTCTGAGTTGAATGGAGTTATTATTATTTCTAAGGAAATCAATGATAAATTGGAAGAAGATAGATTGGTTAGTCATAGTTGAGTTGGTATGTTGGTGGTAGTGATCAGTTCCTTCAGCATGAACAAGTTATGCATGTGATTTGTGGCGGTACGTGCGAGGCTTGTCGGCCGTCGTAATTGATGTTATTTGGAAGTATTCTACTGTTATGTATAGGTGAATCCCGAAAGGGCTATGATGGCTTAGACCACTACTTAGAGATTTGCATATTCTACGGGTATGAGAATTCACTTGTGTGTTGCTATGGTTCTCCTGAAGTGAGTTAAGTGAAAAGTTTTTATATGATAAAGTGTTAATCTATTAAGGGTTCCAGAGTTATGATGAAAATTGTGTTCTATTGTATATTGGCATGTTGGGTGCAATGAGTGGTATGGAATTTGAAGTGAGGATCAAGGTTGCAGTTCGGTGTTGACAAGGAGGTCACGAGCTCGGTGAGTAGGAAAGGAGTTTCGATGTTTAAAGTAAATTGGTATTGTCTTCAGCGTCACCTGAGATCGGTGTTTGCAACAACATCCAATTCTCAATTCTTTGCAACAACATCCAATTCAAACAAACAATGTTTTTTGAAAACCCAAATTCGAATTCAAAGCTTCAAAGCTTTTTAATGGTTGTCAATGGTGGAATTGCTGCTCTTTTGTGCAAGATACGTGGGGAGGGAGGTGAATTGTGGAGAGAGAAACGTGGGGGAGTGGAAGATATGTTAGAGTAATTTTAGGACACTAATTAATATCATTAATTTCCTTAAAATGTATATAAATGGTAATTGGGTATATAAAATATAATTATAGTAAAACTTAAATAGGGAGGGTAATATAGTTTCATATATTGTATAGGAATGTAAAAATTCCTAAAAAGAAGTTCTTATATTTCACTCTGAGCCGGTTATGTTGGGATACACTATTAACCATGCGGTTTAGACGTAGTATTATTATTCTTTATGGAATAATTATTTATTTAATTTATTCAATTCAATAAAGTACTATTTTAAATAGATCATTTATTACATGTGTATCCTTTTAATTATGTAGTAGACAATTTAGTATATGGAGTCTTAGCTCATGCACAGAAGATTAAATTATTGGTACTCATAATTAATAAACTATATTCACAATCAAAGATATTGTTGGACAAAATATCTTGATGATTGTAGCACAAGATAATAGTATAATTTGTCTTGATTATGGGAGTAGTTTTACTCTAACTTCTTGTTCTAGTATACTCAGTGTATATTGAACGGACCAAGTAGAGAAAAGATGTTTTTGTACCGAATATATAAAACATTTTCTCTAATTCATTAAATGAGCTTATACTCCTAATCTTGATATAATATTTATGATCAATGCAATTTATTTATTGTTTTGATTTATCAAAAGGTACAACTCTATTTAGAGTTAGTGTATGCCTAATAGATTGGATAATGACGGATAACATTTGTGAATCATAATTAGTTGATAGAATCCATTACTCGGTTTTGAGTTTGATGATACCACTTTATGTAAGCTTATAAGTTTTCATGTGAAAACCCAGCCGGTGGATTTTGTATCCGTCACATGAAATAGTTTAAGCGGAATTGTAAAGGATTTAATTAGTTGATTCGATTAAATTTTCAGTGATTTAATTTAATTAACTAGTATTTGAGATCTTAACATGGGGAGTTAAAATAAGTGTTATTGAATTTTCAAAATTCATATTGAGGAGTTCAATTGCAGTTTTTAGTGGAATAAATTGCAATTAATTATAGTAAGAATTAATTCATGATAATTTCAAATTAATACTATAATTGGTAGTGTTTTATTATTTCTGTGGTCCCTGCTATACCTAGTAAAAACCTGGACAAGACTTGGGTAAAAAGTGACTTGGGAGAAAAATCACCTAATAGAGTTGGAGTAGGATTCTAATTGTTGAAGGAGAATCCTACACGTTTTTGGAGGAGTATTTCGGCCAATAACTTACCTTTTAGAGTTGTATTGTTCTTGCCCACTCAAAAGTAAAATCGTCCAATGTTTTACTAGGCAAATAGTTGAAGACTACAACCCTGGATTCTTGTTGTTTGGAAGATTTGTACAACTATTTCAAGAGGTTAGTGCTCCTAATCTTGTTATTATTGCGGTTGTCTAGTTTACATGTATTTTATGCCTGAATTGTATGCTTGCTTTCGCTGCGCATGTTCTAACAATTGTTATCAGACGATGTCTTACATCTAACAAGATATTGTAATACCGCATGCATAGAGTAATATTAACACGTGTTGTTTATTGATACATGTTTGGGATGATTATTCTATGTAAAAAAATGTGATTATATTTATTAGTATCTTAATTCTGTAATTTTGAAATTATGAATTAATATACACATGTATAAACAGTGGTGTTATATTTACAGTGTGTTTAAATTACGTTTTTGATGAATGGCAATTTGTTTTTGATAAAAACGTGATTGTTTTTGAATTCTATTAATTCTACAATTATGGGTTAATATACATATACATAAACAGTGAATTAATACCATTAATCTGTTTTAATTATGTTCTGTCCATAATCATAGTGTTATATTAATAAAAACTTGACTGTTTTGTATGATATTAGTTATGTAATTTTGGATTAATATACAGAATTATGAACAGTGGTGTTTTTGAACTATGAAAAATATACTGTGTTTTACAATTCTGTCTGAATACGTTTTTATTAAATAATAATAAAAAATATTATTTTGAGTTCCAAAATCATGTTTTAACATACATCAGTATATTATGTGATTTGAACAAGTCAAAATAATAAAAACCCTTAAAAACGCCAAAAACAGAATCCTAGAAATAGGTCTTGATTTTAGAATTCAGAAATTTTGTCGAACTCCGATTGATCTCAAATTTGGTATCCTCAAATTTGGGCATTCGGGGTCGTTTAGATGGGTTTTGGCCATTTTTTTATTTTCTGGATTTTTTTAATAAAAGAAATCTGTGATGGTAGGGTTCAATTCCTATTGTTTCCAATCATGTTTTACAGTAATATAATGAATTTATATGTTGACATAGGTCTTCTTCCACATGGGATAAATTCATTATAGATGATTACTGTAGTTTTGCCTCTAGTTATTTGATTACTTGTATTAACTCTCCAACTGAGTTACGTGTTGATTCAATGAAACTAGAGTTTATAAAAGTGATATTTACCTATCTTAAATTAACAGTTTACTCTCCATCTAAGTTGGTCCTGTTTAAATTTATGGGGTTAATATCTTACATCACTCATATATTTTGCATGAATAGTTAAGTTTCTCTAACGAATCTAATTGTTCAATGAGCATGGTTATATGTGTAATGTGTTGTTTTGAATTTAATTATTCTAAATACATAACTAATGATCTATTTGTGAATATCTCTCAGATTAACCATATCTTCATTCAACCCACTTACCTCAATTTTGAACCAAAACAAGTTAAAATGACCGAATTATGTTGACTGGAAAAGGAACCTTGATATTGTCCTAACTGCTGAAGATTACAAATTTGTAATCGCTGAAGAGTGCCTAGAAAAACCTGAAAATGCTACTGATGATAAGGTTAAGGCCTAGGACAAATGGGTTAAGGCTAATGAGATGGCGCGATGTTACATTCTTGCCGCTATGGCGAATGTTTTTTAATATCAGCATCAATCCATGGGGTCTGCTTATGATATGCTCGAAAGTCTCAAAGAGATGTTCGGTGAGCAAAATCGTGTAGCTAAGCAGACATCCGTGAAAGCCCTTTTAAACACCAAGATGGTTGAAGGATCATCGGTCAAGGACCATGTTCTGAAGATGATGAGCCTTCTAAATGAACTAGAGGTCCTTGGAGCTGTGATTGATAAGGAGTCTCAAGTTGAGATGGTCCTGCAGACTCTGCCTGACAGTTTTCAACAATTTTGCTTGAACTATAATTTGAACAAAATGGATTTGTCACTAGCGAAATTGTTGAATGAGCTGCAAGTGGTAGAATCTATTATCAAACAACAAGCTCTAGTAATGGCACTCAATGTTGAGAAAGCTTCAGTTTCTAAGTTGAAAGGCAGTAAGAAAAAGAAGAAGGCTCAAAAAGTTTTGGCACCTGGTGGTGCGGCTGGTGTGAAAAAGCCCAAAGGCAAGTGTTATCATTGCAAGCAACCTGCATCACAAAAAGCAATGCCCTACCTATCTGGCAAAGTTGAATAAGCAAGGTAATTCAAATTTAAATGTCATTGAAACTTGTTTAGCGGCTGTTTCTACCATGTTTTGGTGTGTAGATTTGGGAGCCACTAATCACATCTACATTACTTTGCAGGGGTTTCAGGAAACGCGGCGGCTAAGTGAGAATGAAGTTTGCGTTTTTCAAGCCAATGGCGAGCCAGCACCAGCTTTAGCTTTAGGAGATATTAGAATTCTGTTCAGTAGTGATAGAGATTTAGTTTTAAAAGATGTTCTTTATGTACCTTCTATTAGAAGGGATTTGATTTCGGTTTCGAAAATAATGGATGTTGCTTATAATATTTATTTTACTAATAACTCTATTGTTATTAAGTTTAATAAACGTTTTATCTACATTGTTGCTAGAGTACATGACCTTTTTATTCTTAATATATCTCCTCATGTGCTACAACAACCAAAAGAACTAAATAACATTAATCTACTACATAAAAGAAAACGTATTTCTGAATTGAGTCAAACTTATTTGTGGCACTTACGTCTAGGTCATATAAATCAAAATAGGATTTCGAGATTGGTCTCTGAAGGACCTTTGAGTTTATTGAAAGTGGAGTCACTACCAACATGTGAATCCTGTTTAGAAGGTAAATTGACTAAGAGACATTTCCCCTCAAAAGGTAATAGAGCCAGCGATAAGCTAGAATTAATTCACTCTGATTTGTGTGGCCCTATGAATATACAAGCAAGAGGTAGTTTTGAGTATTTTGTGACTCTCACATATGATTACTCAAAATATGGATATATTTATCTGTTACTGTCACGACCCAAAAACTCATCCGGTCGTGATGGCGCCTATCGTGATACTAGGCCAGCCAACTACTACCCATTTACTCAGTTTTTCAATTAAAGACTTAAGAAAAATCATATTTTTAACAGAAATACAATAAGATAAAATTAGACATCAAATCCAGCGGAAAGACACACAAGCCCGATCTCGGGTGTCACTAAGTCATGAGCAATGTACTACAACTGTTCCAAATATATAAGACTACATAGTCTGAGAATATCCAAATAAAAGTACTACAAGGAAGATAAGGAAGGAGAAGGCGGAACTGCGGTTGTTAGGCAGCTACCTCGCAATCTCCGAAGGAACATTTCCAACTGGTATGATCAACAACCGCTACCGTGTCCCGAGATACCTGGATCTGCACACAGGGGTGCATGGGGTAACGTGAGTACACCAACTCAGAAAGTAACAAGTCCAAACTATGGACTGACGGTGGTGACGAACCAAACCTCAACTGGTAGCAACATTTAATTGTACAGAAAAGTAAACATACTTACAGTTCAAGTAAATTCTCAGCAGTGATTAAACACAATATGATCAATACAGAGTATAAAGCTCAAGCACCTCTAAGTACTAATGCACAAATAGCATTATCAATATTACGTATAATACCTCAACTCACAGTGCTCAACCACTCAGTACTATATATGGACCATTCAAACCGGGGAAGATCCATCCTAGAATATATACATCACTGACTGTAAGTCACCCAGTACCGAGGAAATAGGCCAATCTAGCCTCATGGAGAAGATCCATCTCCATACCAATACTTCGGACAAGATACATGTCCAGGGAAGATCCATCTGTCAATATCATCAACTGCGCTCACTAGGGGAGTAAAGACTCTGGAGGGGATTCTCTTAGCCCAAGCGCTATATTGGCCAGCGAAGGCATGATCAATATCTCGCTGCGGCGTGCAACCCGATCCCATACTGTCAATCTATATCAGACTCTCGGCCTCACTCAGTCAATACTCTCTAGTATCACACACACGGGCTCAAAATGTCATGATACTAGCCCGAACAATGATATGATATGTCAAATAGCAAGAATCGAGACTGAGACATGATATAATATGCATGAACATGACTGAGTATAGAATATAAATGAAGTTAATGACATGACAGCAAGAAACGACCTCTAGGGTCTCAACAGTCTTGGCGTGAAGCCTTAACATGATAATTAGCATGATTTGCAACTCATTAACTCAATCACATGATTACAACACAGATATCCGCATAAAAGAGTCGTTAAGTGGTGTCATGGGATGATCCTGGCCTCATTTCTCACGCTGCACGCCCACATGCGTGTCACTTGGCATTGCATTACCTCAATAGTAGTCATAGAACACACAGTTCGGGGTTTTGAACCCTCAGAACCAAGTGTGGAAGCGTTACTTACCTCAACCCAAGCCAAACTCCCCGCGACGCCCTTTCCTCTCACTCCAAATGCACTGAATCTAATCAAAATCAGAACCATAATATCAATATATGCTAAGGGAATAAAGCCCATGTGAAAATAATTAAATTACATCATAAATCCCGAAATTGGCCAAAACCGACCCCCAGACCCACGACTTGAATTCTGATAAAATTCACAAAACTAGAATTCTTACACTCTCACGAGTTCGTACATACAAATACACCAAAATCGGACCACAAATGACCTTTCAAATCCCTAAATCAAAGCCTAAAGTTCCAAGCTCTTATCTCCCAACTTTCCTCATTAATTTTACACTAATACCATGATTAAACAAATCAAAAAATGGCCATAAACACAAATAATAAGGCTTGAGAAGCTTACCCAACTGAAACCCTTCGATTTCCTTGAAAAATCACAGCCCTAGCTCTCTTCCCGTCTTCAAAAATGGTGAAACTTAGCAAAAATTCGCGAAGGCATCTATTTATATGTTCTGCCCAGCTACATCGCACATGCGATCCATCTCCCGCATCTGCGGGACCGCTTCTACGACTATCCAACCGCTTCTGCGGTTTTTCATTTAATTTCCCCGTACCGCACCTGGGACCCAATCTCCGCATCTGCGGGCTCGCAAGTGCGACATACCTTCCGCATCTACGATGCTTGCCCAAACTGTTGACCTTCGCTTATACATTCAATTCACTGCTTCTGCGGCTCACACCTGCGGTCCCCAATCCGCATGTGCGGTTATGATAGAAACTCAGCAGCTGAAGTTGCTCCAACAAATTTCCAAACTTTCCGATAACCATCCGAAATCAACCCGAGGCCCCCGGGACCCCAACCAAAAGTACGAACAAGCCATATACCACTATTCAAACTTATACCAATCTTTGGAACACTCGAAACAACGCCAAAACACCAAATCACCCTCGGATTCAAGCCTAAGGATTCCAAAACTTCCTAATTCTGCAAACGATCAAAACTCTATCAAACCACCTCCGAATGACCTGAAATTTTGCACACACGCCATAAATGACACTACGGACCTACTCCAATCTCCGGAATTCCATTCCGACCCCGATATCAAAATTTCCACTACCAACCGGAAAATGCTAAAATTCCAATTTCTCCAATTCAAGCCTAAGTCTACCACGGACCTCCAAATTACATTGCAAACACACTCCTAAGTCCCAAATCACCTCACGAAGCTATTTGAATCATCAAAATTCATATCCGAGCCCTTTTTCACATAAGTCAACGTCCGATTGACTTTTCCAACTTAAGCTTACTCAAAAGAGACTAAGTTTCTCAAACCTCTCCGAAATCACTCCGAATCCAAACCAACTAACCCGATACCACAGAATACAGTTGAACAAGACATAAAGAAGTAGAAATGGGTGAAATGAAGCGGTAACTCATGAAACGACCGGTCGAGTCGTTACATCCTGCCCCTCTTAAACAAACGTTTGTCCTCGAATGAGTCAAGAAACATATGAAGCCTCAAATAGGTGAGGATATCTGCTCCGCATCTCCCGCTAGGTTTCCTAGGTAGCCTACTCCACTGGTCGACCTCTCCACTGCACTTTCACTAAAGATATATCCTTTGATCTCAACTTTCAAACCTGACGCTCCAAAATAGCCACTGGCTCCACATCATAAGTCAAAGCACCATCCAACTGAACTGTGTTGAAATCCAAAACATGAGACGGATCACCAATATACTTCCGGAGCATAGAAACATGAAATATCGGATGCACACTCGATAAGCTGGGTGGCAAAGAAGCTCATAAGCCACCTCCCCAATCCTCCGTAGTACCTCAAAAGGACCAATGAACCGAGGACTCAATTTACCCTTTTCCCAAATCTCATAACGCAAATAATAGGCCAGACCTTCAGTAGAACCTTCTCCCTAACCATGTAGGACACATCACGAACCTTTCTATCAGCATAACTCTTTTGCTGGACTGCCCTATACGAAGCCGCTCCTGAATCACCTTCACCTTGTCCAAAGCATTCTGCACTAAGTCTGTACCCAAAAGTCTAGCCTCACCCGGCTAAAACCAACCCACTAGGGATCTACACCGTCTCTCATAATAGCCTCATATAGAGCCATCCGAATATTCAACTAATAACTGTTGTTGTAAGCAAACTCTGCGAGCGATAGAAACTGATCCCACGACCCTCCAAAGTCAATGACACAAGAGCACAACATGTCCTCCAATATCTGAATAGTGCGCTCGGACTGCCTATCCGTCTGAGGGTGAAAAGTTGTGCTCAACTCAACCTGAGTACCCAACTTTCGCTACACGACTCTTCAGAACTATAAAGTAAACTGAGTACCTCTATCCGAAATGATGGAATCTGGGACACCATGCAAGCGAACAATCTCTCAGATGTAAATATCTGCTAACCGCTCTGAAGAATAGGTAGTACACATAGGAATAAAGTGCGCGGACTTGGTCAGTCGATCCATAATCACCCAAATAGCATAGAACTTCTTCAAAGTCCGTGGGAGTCCCACTACAAAGTCCATAGAGATCCACTCCCACTTCCACTCTGGAATATCTATCTGCTGAAGCAAGCCACCCGGTCTTTGATGCTTCTATTTCACCTGCTAACAATTGAGACACCGAGCTACAAATCCTACAATATCCTTCTTCATTCTTCTCCACCAATAATGTTGTCTCAGATTGTGGTACATCTTCGTGGCACCTGGATGGATGGAATACCGCAAGCTATGGGCCTCCTCTCGAATCAACTCCCG